CAGCGCTGGTGTTCCGGCGCCGTCGGGCCCGGGTGGCGACTCGAAGGTCCCCAGCCGCTCACATTTTCTGACCGCCTTTCCCCTCTCCTCAGCCTGGGCAGTGCCGTCCCCACCGACCTCGCTCCCACGCTCGCCTGCCTCTCCCGCACACGGTGTTACCGCCCCGTCGAGCCCAGTCCTTCCCCTTCTTCGTTTCTGCACCCCCTTCTCAGCGTGCCCCCCGGTCCCTCTCTGAGGGCCTTTTGAGAAATCTCTGGAGTAGTGGACCAGAAGCCGGGAGTTTTTAAAAGCCGAGCGCGAGAGACAGGAAGGCACGATGGCCTCCTCGTCCGGCAACGACGATGATCTCACAATCCCCAGAGCTGCTATCAATAAGATGATCAAAGAGACTCTCCCCAACGTCCGGGTGGCCAACGACGCCCGCGAGCTGGTGGTGAACTGCTGCACTGAATTCATTCACCTCATTTCTTCCGAAGCCAATGAGATTTGCAACAAATCGGAAAAGAAGACCATTTCCCCAGAGCATGTCATACAAGGTAAGTCGTGTGTAGGATTTGGTTTACATGAGAACCGTGGGGACAGTAGTCGCGTGATTCGTGTCGAAGCCTTCGTTTTTCTTCCCCGGTAAGTACTGGTAACGAAGAAGCCACATGGGCACCGGGGCAGCCGGTGCCGTCATAACGTTCTGAGGTCGTCTTGTACTTGTCATCCAGCGGACTCCAGCGAGGAGGGCGGGTGTAAAGGGCGGCTGACGTTCCTAAACTGTTCGGAGTGGCCTCACCTTACAGCCAGGTAGACCAGAGCAACGAGAATCGCCTGCCCACAGTTGAGTCTAGGTAATGACAACTGAGAAAGCAACCGTAGGTTCTCCCCCAGGAAGTTAGAATTCAGACAGGAACTTCAGAGGGGAGTCAGAGGACCCCTTTCCCACTCGACCTTTTCTCCTGTGTAGAGGTAAAGATTCATTTTCTGAGCAAACAAATAAAGTGTATTCAACCTTGTGGAGTTTATTCGTGTTGAATAGAGGGGGAGTGTATTTTCTCCTTTAAAACAGTTCATGTTGGGACGGACGTTCATCAAGTTACCAAATCATTCCTGTTCTGTAAGGAAAAGATAAATGTTCTTTCTTTCTTTTTTGTATTATGCCATTTTTTTGCTCTATAGAGATTAAATGTAAAAGCTTAGATTGGAAAGTTATAGAAGAGGTTAAAAACATTTTTTTAAAAACAGAACGTTTCCCTTTCCTGCTTGCATTCCCATTTGTATGTTTACACACTCTTTTATTGAAGACTGCTTCTGAAAGTTTCAATGGTTCTTCCCTTGGAAATGATTTAACCCAGTTATAGGGACTTGGAGGGCAATATGCTGATGATTTCAGGGAGTGGAAACATATTTACTAGTCATAATGTTTTGGGAAGCACATTCTGTGACTTGTATGAAAAGTTGCATTCAGTTTGAGGTGATAACTTGCCTCTTGTAGTAATCTAATTAAAATCTAACAGTTTTGATAGCTTTTGAAGTCAGAAAAAAGTCGTGGTTAATTTTAATTTTGGTAGGTGGGCACTTGCCTACCATTTCATTTTTATAATTTAACTTTTTATAAATGTCCTGTGCCAATTATGCCACTGGAGCACCTTATAATGTAACTTTTTGAAAGGTAACTTTTCTATTGTTAGTAGAAAATTCATCTGTTCATATTGATCATATCTAGTATTTTACTGTCAGTATAGACAAAAGGATTAAATGATTCATTTTTTATCCTTTATGATGTCCTAAAGGTAGATTTAAAGTAGACCCATACCATTTCAGTACATAAAGAGAAAAAAATCCCTGGGAGAGAGCATATTTGGTTCTTAAAGCTAGTACATGTTTTCTTCTTGTTTGGTGTGCTCTTGCAAATAAAATGAAAGCCAAGTTGTCTACTCTTCATTTTTGTTTTTATTTTTACATTGTATGTGTGATGCCAAATCTTTCACAAGATTATCCAACACAGATAGTTATAATTTTATAACTCATAAAAGAAAAATACAACCTTTTATCAATACTCCCTTTCTAATAAAAATTGCAAAAGATTTTAGCAGGATCTGCCTAAATATTTGTTTATACTGTGGAAATAGAGATTGGTTCAAAAATCTAATAACACATTACAGACTGTCTTCTTGGGGAGAGTTTATTCTTTTCTAGGATATATTTAGATTCCTGATTGACATGATAGAATAGAAGTGCAGCTGTAGCAAGCAGTATGCTAAATAGTTCAACTTTGCAATATGCCAAATTCAGTTTAACATGTGAGTCAGAAAGTTACAGTGAAAGCATTTTCCTTTGTGTAATGAGCATGAATTATTAATTAAAAAAATCGTATATTATAGTTTAATAGATTTATTCTTTTTTCTTATAATATTGCTGTTTAGTGGATAAGAATCTACATCTATACTTGCCCCAAAATCCTCCCAATTGGGACAGGAGATTTTATACATTTACTCACACTACTTAATCGTTTCAAGGAAGTTTTGTTTTGAGAGGTTAAAAATTTTTTTTAAACAAATGCTTAAGGCTTAGATGTTATAAGTGTCTGTAAGTGTGTGTGTGTGTGTTTTAAGAATTATTTCTTTATTTTTATTTATTCATTCATTTATTTGACCAGAGAGAGAGACACAGAGAGAGAGGGGGGGAAAGTTGGAAAGGAACTCAACCATGATAGGCCATGTGAGAGTGTCCAGTGCCTTAACCATCATGCTACCTGCTGGTCTCCTCCTAAAGTATGTTCTTACAGATTAATTCTGAGACACTGGAGAAATCTCGTAGATAGGACATTTTATGCTTTTTTTGTCAGAATTGATTATTTAGGAATATGGGGTGTATCTAAGTGGAATGTAATGTACATTTTAAAATCATACGATTCTTGTACAGCCGATGGTAAAGTAGTTATGTCGCTGGACTCCCACATGGCTGGCCGTGATTCAAGTCCTGGACCCGGTGGCTTGAAAATCACAACAGGTGTGTGTGTGTGTGTGTGTGTGAGTGAGTGTGTGTGCGCGCCCGCGCGCCAAGATCCCAAGAGGAGAATGGAGGAGAAGGGATTGCAGTGTGGCCATCCCACCTAGGGAGTGATTTTTTTTTTCCTTTTACCCCCGCACTGTCTCTCTCTCTCTCCTTCCCTCCCCACTATGAGCAAGTTTACACGCCCTAAAGCAAAAACTTCCCCCCAAAAATCATATGATTCTTATATATTGAAGTTTGAATTTTTAGTAACAAGTTTAATGAACTAGACTTTGCTTCTGGGCATTTCATTTGTTAAGTTGCCACCTTGTTTTACCTTGACGGAGCAAATTAAGCATTCTGAAATAATTCTATAAAATGTATGTTAAGGTTGGAATAACTTTTCAAATTTAAATCTATGAGGTACCATATTTAGTATATAAAATCTGTTTTGCTTATAAGGAAGTAGATTTGGTATTGAAGATCACAGACACATGAATATAGAATTTTAAGCTATAAAAGGTAATCTTTTTATTTTGTTATTTTTTTGTCGATACATATTTTTGAATGAGTTCCAATATGTTCTGTTGCATTATGGAAAGAATTGACATTGAGAATCAAGAGCTAAGTTCTACACTAGAAATTTTTTGGCCTTAGGCAAATCTGTTAACTAAGGTTTTCCCACTCGTGTATGAATTATGCTTGATTACTGGTACAGCTTGCAGTTATTGAGAGTCAGGGATTGAAAACATTTCAAGAAATATGCTATGCTAAATAATAATTTTAAAATTTTGTAGTGGTACTGATTAAAGTATAAAGCTGAGTTCTGCTATGTTTGTATCATGAGGCCATCTTTAAAGCCAAAGTGTAAATAAATAATTTTAAATATTCTTTGTTCTGCATTCTTATTTTTTAAAGAGAGATTTTTGCTATAAGGTGGATGTGCTGTCTGGGGAGACAGAAGCAGAAAGTGAGAAATCACCCCTCAAGGGAGATGGCCACGACCCAGTCCCTCCTCTATTTTCCTTTCAGGATTTTGGGTGGGCATGCCGAATACAGGTCTGTCCTGGGTGAGTTTTAAGCCACCAGGCCTGGAACCCAACTACGATCAACTATGCGGGAGTCCAGCGACATAACCATTATGCCATGTTGGTACCTTACTTTGGATTTCTATCCTTAACTCATTACAGCCATTTCAAACGGTTCTGGCATAGGTCTATGGTCCATGCTTTGGGTAACTTTGTTCTAGACTAAACCTCAGTCTGTTTAGGAAAGTGGGTGTGAAGTAATTTTGAAATCAAATGACCTGAATGTTTGCAGAGAAGTTCTAATAATAATGAGAATGAAAATAATGAGTTATGTTGCCCAAATAATCATTCACACAGGTACTTTTTTCTTCCTTCCTTTCTTTTCTTTTCTTTTCTCTTCTCTTCTCTTCTCTTCTCTTCTCTTCTCTTCTCTTCTCTTCTCTTCTCTTCTCTTCTCTTCTTTTCTTTCTTTCTTTTTTGAGAGGTTTTTGCTATAGGGTGCATGCGCTCTCCAGAAAGACAGACAGAGACAGAGAGACAGAAAGTGAGAAATCACCCCCCCAGGGGGGATGGCCACACTGCAATCCCTTCTCTTCCATTCTCGTCTTGGGATCTTGGGCACGCATGCACAGGCGCCCGGTGTTAGTTTAAGCCTCCGGGTCCGGGACTTGAACCGCAGTCGACTACATGGGAGTCCAGAGACATAGCCATTATGCTATCTGCTTGTCCCAATATAGGTACTTTTTTCTGAAAGGAAACTTGTAATTTTCATTGCACAGCTTATGTGATTAGATGCTTTTCTATTGAGTCTTCAAAAAGGTCATGACACATTTTTGCATAGAAAAACAAAAATACATCATGACTTTTCCAACACCCAGTAGTTAGTATTTTATTATTATTTTCTTTAAAATTGATCTGTCTTCTGTTTTTTGTTTTCCTTCTGCCACCCAGCAATTGCTTATTGACTACTTATAAAGTGCTTGGCATTGTGCTAGAAACTCCTGAGGATATAAAGATGAATGATACTCAATTCCTTCTCTGCCATTAATGTCTCATTATTGTCCCAGATTTCCTAGAGTAGTGATACCATCAGGGACATTGTTCTTAGGTCTTCAGAAACCTTTGCAAGGCTATTGAGCTAGGAAATCACTTTGGCCTGCATCCTTTTAAGGAACAATTACTGGGTGAAATACATCACTCTCTCCCCTCCTTACAAGCAATAGACAACAGAAAAATTCAAGAATGCTGGTTTATATCTTTGAAAAGGTACTATATGTCACTTTCTCTAAAGAAAAACATGCTTGGGACCAGATAGTGGCCCAGCACAAAGGAAAAGTTCTGTGTTACTGGATCACGCCACCTGCTGGCTCCAGAAGGAGTGTCTTTTTAAATTTTGTACAAAGGGGTGAGGCCAGGTGGCGTGGTGGTTAAGAGATGGTAATGTGTACTGAACAGCCTACACAATTGTAAATGGTAGCCTTGCCTAGGAGCCATTTCCCTTATTCTTTTATAGTCTCCTTTGTTTAAAGGGGGAATCATTGCTACTACATAATAATATATGCTGTAAAATAACTCCCTATTTAGGGGGCCCCGCAGGTGGCTTGGTGGTTAAGGTACACTCCTACATGACTGACCACAGTTTAATTCCTAGACCTGGTGGCCTGCTTTCTCACTTTCCCTCTCTCTCTTTCCATGTCTCTCTCTGGTCAAATTAAAATAATAATAATAAATAAAATATAATAAATATTTTTAAAACTCCCGATTTAGAAGATACTGTATCCAGTTGTTAATACTTATTAATCAAAATGTCTTTAAAATTTAAAGTCAATGCAGTTTTTGAAATTAAATTAATGGCTGTACCTGTTGAACCATTTTATTGAGAGTACAGTATTTATACATAGCAGCTCTTTGAATAACATTAAATAATAACCATGGGCATTTTTTGAGAGCAGCTTTTTTTTGTTTGTTTTACTTTATTTTTTGCCACATAGCACATTCACTTGCAGGAGAGAGACAGAGACAGAAAAAGGAAAATGAGAAATCACCACCCCCAGACGGGATGGTCACGTTGCAATCTCCTCTCTGTAGAATTTTGTGCATGCACGCACATGCGCCTGATGTGATTTTTCAAGTTGGCAGGTCAGGGGCTTGAACTGCAGTTGGCCATGTGGGAGCCTTAGCCACTATGGTTCCTGCTGGCCCCCAGTAGTGTTGTATTTAAAGGTAAGCTCCCTATCTCCTCTCCCCTAAGCCCTCCTGAATTAAAGGTAAAGTTAAAGAATTTTCTTAATGTCTAGCCTAGTAATTTACGCCTTTTTTTTTTTTTTTTCATTGTCAAAAGGTGCTCACCAGAGAAGGAGGGAGGGAGAATGCTACTCCAGTAGGGTGTGGTCTTTTTTTTTCATTGTCAAAAGGTGCTCACCAGAGGAGGGAGGGAGAATGCTTCTCCAGTAGGGTGTGGTCAAAACACAGTCGTCTTTTCTCCATGTCTTTTTCCTCTCAGCATTTTTCCTGTCAGACATGTATGCACTTGTGCCCAGAATGTTTTTCCAGCTGCTCGGGGCCAAGATTCAAGTCAGCCATGTGGGATCTGACTTCCCGTGGTTAACACTTAACCACCATGCTATGTAGCTGACCAAGTGTATGCCATTTTGAGGGATTGTTTCTCAGTGTATTCATTGTTAATTTCATAAATTTAATATATTTTAAACATACTTCAACTTTAATTTAGATTGATAATGTTTAACTATATATTTATTTAAGTCTTATGCTTATCAGAGTACTCTTTAAGAGAAAAAATAAATTAGTGATACATAGTCCAGTTGGTTAAATGATTCTTTTGTGCTAGACACTGATTTTTTTTTTTTTTGAGAGGTTTTTGGTATAGGGTGTGTGCATTCACAAGAAAGTGAGAGACAGACAAACAGAAAGTGAGAAATCCCCTCCCCCCCAGGGGTGATGGTCACACTGCAATCCCTTCTCTTCCATTCTCTTGGGATCTTGAGCACGCATGCACACGTACCCGGTATGAGTTTAAGCCACCAGGTCTGAGACTTGAACCACAGTCGACTGCGTAGAAGTCCAGCGACATTGCCTTTACACCAATTGCTGGTCCCATGTGCTAGACACTGTTAACTCCCTCATAATAATTATTTGTTGACTCCAGCCTCTGTTTTAATCTCTTCCCAATATATTAATTCATTTATTCTTCATAAAAACCTGATCCAGTCAGATGCAGCTACTGTTGTTTTATTTATTTAGAGGTGAGAAAAACGTGTTAAAAAAGTGAAGGAACTTAACCTAGGGTCACACAGCTAATATGAGGCAGAGTTGGGAGTCAGTTAGCTCTAGGGCCTCTACACTTTAACCACTATACTTCCTCTGATTGTGGGAAGATGTTATGAAGTAGATGTTATTCTCATTTTATAGATGAAAAGACTAAAGCTTAGAAACATTAAGCAGTATATCTAAGAATATACAACTACTGTGTTGACTAAGTTTCAGTTCTAGGTCTATGTGATTTCTTTATCTTTTTCTTAAAGAATAATTTATTTATTAGTACAATTTCTAATTTGCTATAGGGCACGTGTGCTCACCAGAGAGAGAGAGAGAGAGAGGGAGTGAGTAAGCAAGCTGCCAGGTCTGGGACTCGAAGAACAGTTGGTTATGTGGACGTCCAGTGCCCCAATCACCATGCCACCCGCTGACCCAGTCTATGGTTTCAAAAAGGGAAGATGGTATCTGTCTGAGAGGATCAGGCAAGCTTAATTTGGAGATGGGTTTTGCTTTGTTCCTTGAATGCCTTACCATCAGCACAAATGTGGGAAACTATGGTTCCTGTTGGGAAACATTAAGCAGTCAGATTTAGCTGAGAAGTATGCAGGGATGTAATGACAGAAATAAACCAGGAAAGGTTGGTGAGGCTAGATCTTGGAGGACCTTGATTTAGGGCTAAGGAAATCAGACTTTTTAAAGAATACGGTAGGAAACCATAAGCTAGTCACTTGGTTTTTTTTGTCACTGTCTAGTGTCAGTGTTATTGAAATACTCTATGTTTGTGTCTTTAGAAAGAGAAAAGATAAAACAAAAATTTTGACTTCTATCATTGACTTTTATAAAAGAATTATTTTATTTAACTTTATTATTATTATTTTCCAGTTTGATCAGACAGAGAGAGAGAGAAAGTGAGAAAGCAGGCCGCCAGGTCCAGGATTTGAACTGTGGTCGGCCATATGGGAGTCCAGTGCCTTTAACCACCACACTACCTGCTGGCCCCATCTATTATTGACTCTTAACAAAAATAAGTCAGTGTGTCAACTCAAGCTAATAATGCAGGCTGCCTTGTCTTCAGTTATTTTTTTCCACTGTATCCTAAGCTCCTCGAGGTCAAGAATTATGTGATGGTAAATTTGATATATAGAACTCAGAATAATGCCTTTCAAGATTCAGGGGTAGGGGGGTAATGATAGTAATTTAACTTAATTAAAAATCCAAACATCAGTACTCTGCCTTCTGACAGATTATTTCTGAAGAATGTTGATGAAACAGCTTAACATTTGAAATATTTCAAAGTTGTAAATCATTCATAATGTCTTAGAAACCACAGTTGATATGGGAATGTTGATTTATAATGGTCCTTTGGTATTCTCCCGGAAGAGCAAATCCCTGAAGTTAAAATTGAGAGCATCTTTATTGAGTGCAGTCTGATGCGTCATAATTGTTGAAAGACTAAAAACTGGTGAGATAAATTGATTTACTGTGTTTTTCACCTTTCATCATTGGCTCAGAATACAAAAATATGTCTTTGGAGTATTAGTCAACTTATGGAAAACTGTAAGATATAATTTTGTTTTATTTTAATATTTTTTAATTTGCTAGAGGTATATGCATTCATGGGGTTAGGGGCAGGGAGAAAGCTCTCCTCATAGGGAATGGTCACTTCATAATCCCTTCTCCATTTTCTCTATTCTTTTGGAATTTTGGGCTCATAATGCATAGGCGCTGGCATGTGTCTTAAGCTGTAGGATCCAAACTGTGCAGCTGCGTGGGATCCAGCTGTCTTAACCACTATGCCATCAGATGACCCAAGATAAAATTTTAAAGACTTTGAGACAAAAAGAAATCTCATGCCTTTTCTGGATTACAGAAGGCATAAAGGGTGTATAGTTTAGTTTTTCTTTAAAAATTTTTCTAGTTGTGAAAAAATAAAAGAAATTTTTTAGTAATGTTTCCTCAATCCTTATAGTCTTTTATTGCAGTTTTTCTGCCAAATCACTTGAAAATGTTTTTTATAGTGCTCCTTTTGAGTTTTATTTTCAAAAGAAACCTATTGACTGACTGTAAATGATGAATTTCATGAGTTATTTCCATCAGTATTTCTTAAACTTGGCTGTTTCAATGTCTGCTAAAATTAGTTTCTTGTTCATACAAAAGAAAAGCTTACCTGTTCTTTCATTCTATCCTACGGAAAGAATTAGAACATGTGTTAGTAGCCTACTTTTTCTAATACAATGGGCACAAAATATGTTATTAACAAATAGATTCTAAATATTTGTCTGTTTTACATTTTTTGAAAAAGTGACTGAATTAATGATGTTTGACTGGCTGTGTGGTATAGGAAAAGTTTTTTCTTACTAAAACCACATGTTTCCTCTATTGGACTTTTTTCTTCTTCCCCCAGGAAATGATTTAGTCTTTTAAAAATTAATCCAAAACAAAAGGAAAAGTAAGGCCTATCCCTTGAATAATCTTTAAGTTGTAACTGATTTGCAATATAATATTAAGCAAGTCAATAATGTATTTTGTCTTTGCCATCTAGACAGTTGCTGTACCACTATAAAAATCGGTAAAATTATGAGAAAATGATAAAAAAATACCACTCCCCCCCCAAGAGAAAAATCCACTCAAACTTCATATTCCATAGGTAGGGCAAAAGCTATGTTCTTATCACCCTTTTAAATTTTCATGTTTTTATTTTATTTCTAGCACTAGAAAGTTTGGGCTTTGGCTCTTATATCAGTGAAGTAAAAGAAGTCTTACAAGAATGCAAGACAGTAGCATTAAAAAGAAGAAAGGCCAGTTCTCGTTTGGAAAACCTTGGTTTTCCTGAAGAAGAGTTATTGAGACAACAACAGGAATTATTTGCAAAAGTAAGTAATGTATTTTAAATTATTATCATTTGAATCATACCCTGTTTGCTAATAGAAACACTCGGAATAACTTCCTAAATCAATGTATTTACCCAGAGGATTTCCTTTTTCTGTTGTTTATAGAATCTGATGGCTATTTTGATTCTGGTTTATGTAAAGCAGTAACCTGTTTCCTTTTTTTATTTTTTGAAGTTTTTTTGCCATAGGGTGTGTGCTCTCAGCAGAGAGAAGGAGAGGGAAAAAATGAGAAATCATCTGCCAGGAGGGATGGCCATGCCATAGTTTCTTCTTTTTCTCTTGGGATTTTGGGCATGCATGCACACATGTGTGTGGTATGTCTTTCAAGCCATTGGGTAAGGGAGTCAGCCATATGGGAACTAGTGCCTTAAACCACCATGCCACTTGTTGACCTACAGCCTGTTTTCTAAAGAGAACAATTCCAAATAACTATTGAGATTTTACTTTGATGTTTTTTAGACCAAATGACCATCTAAAGACATGAAAATTATACCTGTTTTTTAAGATTTAAAACAATGGGCTGATGAGAAAAATACTGTATCACATTTTATGATGAATGTCATACAAGGAAAATCTGATTGACATCTATTTTGTAGTTAAACTAGGTCTTTACCTTTAAAACACTCAAATCTTAAAAAACTGTAAAGAGTTAGTAGAGCAGAGAAAGAGAGGAAGCTTTTTTTATTATAGTCTCTGTGTGTGTGTGTGTGTGTGTGTGTGTGTGTGTACATACATGTGCATGCTATAAGGCATGTGCTTTCTGGGAGAGGTTTTTGGTTTTTGCTTTTTTTTTTTCTCTATAGGACACGTGCGCTCGCCAGACAGACAGAGAGAAATCACTCCCCAGAGGGGATGGTCACGCCGCAATCCCTTCTCCTCCATTCTCCTCTTGGGATCTTGGGCACGCATGCACACGCACCCAGCGTGAGTTTTAAGCTACCGGGTCCAGGACGCGAACCACGGTCAACTACGTGGGAGTCCAGCAACGTAGCCATTACGCTAACTGCTGGTTCCCAGGCCTGTGCTGTCGAGAGAGAGAGAGAGACTGAGAAAGTGATAAAACCCTCCCTGGGGGACAGCAACACTGCAATCCTATCTCCTCTCAGGATTTTGGGCATGTATACACATATACCTGCATGTTTTTCAAGCCCCCATGCCCAGGCCTTGAACCATACAGTTAACCATGTGGAATCCATCCGCCTTAACCACCCGTGGCACTGGCTGTCCCAGCTTGTTATAATTCTAATACCTAGTCTGTGAAGGATTAGCACCAAAATAATAATATCCCTTTTTTTTTTTTTTTTTTAAAGAAAAGATGGAAGGAGGTAGCAAGGTTTTCTACAAAGTCCTGGCTTCTCATTTGAAACTGTAAAATGATTTGGGAGTGAATAGAGTAGGTAAGATTTCCCAGTAGGTAATGTAATAGCCATTAGAACGGAGAAGTGCCATTTTATTTTAATTTATTTATTTATTTTTGAGGTTTTTGTTTGTTAGTTTGTTTTGAGAAATACCATTTTAATTATCCTCTTCTGGATTGATGCCATAGTTGACTTCCCTGCAGCCATAACATTTGTTTACATCAGAAAACATTTGAGTTGGGGCCAGTAGGTGGTGTGTTGGTTGGGGTATTGGACTTCTACATGTTTGACCATGGTTCAAGTCCCAGACCTGGTGGCTGGAAAATCAAACTGGGCACATCTGCACATGTGCCCAAAATCCTGACAGGAGAATAGAGGAGAAGGGATTGTGGCATGGCCATCCCACCTGGGGATGATTTCTCACTTTTTCTCTGTGTCTCTCACTGACAAGCACACATGCCCTATGACAAAGACCTAAAAACCAAACCAAAAAAAAAAAAAAAAAATTGAATCTGGTGTTACTAGACATTTAAACTAATCAGAAAAAAATTTCTTGGGACTAGCAAGAATTTGGTGTAATGGCTCTGTTGCTAGACACCCATGTAGTTGATCGCGGTTCAAGTCCTGGACCAGTGGCTTAAACAAATCACGCTGGGCACGTGTATGCGTGCCCAAGATCCCGAGAGGAGAATGGAGGAGAAGGGATTGCGGTATGGGAATCCCCCCTGGGGGGTGATTTCTAACTTTTCTGTCTTTCTTTCTGTCTCTTTCTGGCGCCCTGTAACAAAAACCTCTCCAAAAAAAGGAAGAAAAATAAATTCTTGCTATTACTAACATTTTTGAGTCATAACTATGTGTTAATCACATTGCCATAATTTACATGTATTATCTCAATTAATCTTTTCAACAACCTGTGAGAGTAAGTACTAAAAAGGAAAAGATTTTGAGGCAGGCATGATCACATGCAAACAGCGCTATAATCCACATGAATATGAGACAGCAAAGGAGTGATTTTGTTTTTTGAGAGAGAGAGAGAGAGATTTTTGCTATAGAGTGCATGTGCTTGACAGAAAGACAAAAAAGCAAGAAATCACCCTCAGAGGGATGGCCACACTGCAATCCCTTTTCCTCCAGTCTCCTCTCAGGACTTTGGCCACACATGCACATGTGCCCAGTGTGAGTTGCAAGCTGCCAGGTCCAGGACTCAGACTGCAGTCAGCCATGTCGGGTCCAGAACTTTAACCGCTATGTCACCTGCTAGCCCCAGGAGTGATCATTTTAAAAAATTAATTTGGTTAGTATTTATTAATTCTGTGTCATTACAGATCACTTAGAGGGTACCAAATTAAATACCCAATAAAAAGAAAGATGTTAGTCTTTTAAGATAATTCATATACCTTGCAGATTTTTTATGAAATAATGTAATTGTTATTAAAGTCACTTACATATTAGGAAACAGACTCAGAAGTAGAGAAACTTACATGAAATAATTTGTTCTTCAAAAACCCACTTGTCTATGCTTTCTTTTTTAGCTGGGCCTAGTATTCTGCAAACTTACATATCTGCTTTGCTAGCTGACTCTCCATTAAACTATGCTGCCAGTAAGGAGAAGCAAGAGGTAGATTGCAAGGCTGGAAGAAGAAGGAGGAGATTGCTCCTTTCACTTCCTCTTGGCTTCCAGTTACTTTGAGGAACCTAGAAACATATCTTCACTCTGGTTATATCAGTTTTTTTCTGTAGCAGAAACTGAATCCAGATTGCATTTTCTATTGACCAGGCTTATAGCAGTCAACCAAAGAGTCATGGTTCCTAATATTATAGTCTACTAAGAAAGCTTGACTTCAGTGAAATGTTTAAGTTCAGTTAGTTAGGAAGTATTAGAATCTATATTTCAACTCATGTGTTCTGACTCTAAAACCTGTACTCTTTCTACTATAGTATGGTGATGTTCTAGCCACTACTTTTATCTGCTTATATTTATTATGGAACTTTAAAATAGAATATACCTTATTCTTGCCAGAGCAGAAAAGGTAAGTGAAACAAATAATAAACAATTGACTGCCTGCTATATCTATCTCTTTTTTAAATGTTTATTTTGTTAAATATTTATTTATTTGATTTATTTGTTATTTTTATTTTTTATTTTGACCAGAGTGAGACAGAAAGGGAAAATGAGAAAGCAAATCACAGAGTCTGGGACCTGAAATGTGATAGGCCATGTGGGAGTCCAGCATCCCAACCACCATGCCACCTGCAGACCCCCATATCTGTCTCTATCTGTCATGTATTTTTTTATTCATAATTTTCCTTTTTTTTTTTTTTTTTTTCTTTTTTACACTGGGCTATGAGTGAAGATTCCTAGTTATTTCTTTGCTCTTGTGAGGAAGATTAGCAGAGATGTAAAATTGTAGCAGCTGCCTTTCCTCCCTAGAACACAAAATACTTAAGGTCTGAATATGAAAGGAACTAATAAGTAAGTATATCTTTTTATCACTCATTTTGTTTCATTTTTTTAATACTTTATTTTAAATGCTGATGTAAGGACAACCTCATTTAAAGCCAGTAACAAAAATTTGGAAGGGCTATCCTTTAATACATCAAGATTAAAATTAAGTTATAAATGATTCATTTTAGTATGTAGAATAAGAATGTAAAAACATAATTAAAATCTCCAAAGATGGGGACCAAGAGATGGTGTAATAGTTACGTCACTGGATTCCCAAATAGTTGACTGTAGGTCGAGTCCCGGACCTGGAGGCTTAAAACTCACACCAGGCGCATGTGCGTGCATGTCCAAAATCCCAATAGGAGAATGGAGGAGAAGGGATTGTGGCATGGCCATCCCTCCAGTTGGTGATTTCTCGCTTTCTGTTTCTCTGAGTCTCTGCTGTGAGTGCATGTGCCCTAGAATAAAAATCTCTCTTTAAAAAAAAAAAGCTCCAAAGATGAAGTAAATTAGAAAGGTTCTGCTTACTTATCTCTCTTTCATACCTCCATCTGGAAGAAAGACAGTTGAGATGGGTTGGGTGAGAGGCAAAGGGAAAAAGAAATTAGAATAAATAACACTAATTTTTAATTTGTGGATATGAATACACATAAAATTATATTAATTAACAGTGGCTCCTTTTTTTTTTAAGAATTATTTTATTTAACTATTTATAATTTTGACTAGAGAGGGACAGAGCAAGGGAGAGAAGGAAAGTGAGAAAGCATGCTGCCGGGTCCAGGACTTGAACTGCAGTCGGCTCTGTGAGAGCCCAGCACCCTTAACCACAATGCCACCTGCCAGCCCCTCAACAGTGGTTCTTAAAGGCAAAATTAAGTGTGCTATTGCATTAGAATTAACTATTTTCCATATTTCTTTATAAAAATTGATGAAAATAATTATTAGAACACCCGATTTCTAATTTCTTAAGCAATTTGATGAAAATAATTATTAGAACACCCGATTTCTAATTTCTTAAGCAAAAGAATGTTTTTGCTGAGCCAGCCCTCTGGTCTGGTGGTTAAGAGAGCCAAATCCCACATGGTTAACCCCACTACAGATCCTGGTGCTGGTGACTTGAAAAGCACATGAGGTGCATGTATATGTTCTCTAACATCCTAAAGGGATGGAGAAGTGGAGGAGGGGAAATTGCAGCGTGACCATGCCCCAATGGAGGTGCTTTTCTCTCTGTGTCTCTTTTTCTCTCTCTTTGGTAAGTGCACAGGTCCTCTGCCAACTAATTAAGTAATGTTTTGTTTAGTTTTAAAATTATCTTATTGGGACCAGCAGATGGCAGAATGTTTATGTCACTGGACTCCCATGTAGTTGACCACGATTCAAGTTCCAGATGCAGTGACTTAAAGGTCACACTGGGCATGTGTGCGTGTGTTCCCAAGATCCCAAAGGGAGAATGGAAGAGGAGGGATTGCAATGTGGCCATGCCCCCTGGGGAATGATTTCTTTCTGTCTCTCTCCCTGTCTCTCTGGTGAGCGCATGCACTCTATAGCAAAAATCTCTCTGAAAAAAAATTTCGATCTTTTTCCTAATATCGTCTATCTTTTAAAACTTACTCATTTCTTTTCTTTCTTTCTTTCTTTCTTTTTTTTTTTTTTAACCATCTTTAGAGGTACATGTACTGGTCAGAGACAGAAAGAGACAGAGAAAGCATCCTCCCCCCATGGGGTATGGTCATACTAGTCCCTCTGCATTTCTCTATCCTGTCAGGATATGGGGTGCACATACACTAAGAATATTTTTCAGGCTGCCATGGTGAAGACTCCCAACTGCAGAGTAGGCCATGTGGGATCCAGCTCCCTTAACCACTAGACCATGGGACTGGCTCTATATTACCGTCTTTCAAAAATGTATATATGTCACTTATTTCACTCATTTGACTTCTGTTCTACCCCCCCCCCCAGAAACATTTAATCAGCAAATCCAGCGACTTTGCCATACCACCTGCTGGCCCCTAGAGTTTTTAAAATAACATTTAACATAGATCTCTTCCTTTATGATACTTCCTTCTGACACTATGGTTACTTGGATAGCCTTCCCTGAGGGTAATAACATTTCTTTCTTTCTTTTTTATTTTTATTTGTTTTTTTTTTGCTATAGGGCACATGCATTTACCAGAGAGACAGAGACAGAAGGCGAGAAATCACTCCCCAGGGAGGATGGCCACACCACAGTCCCTTCACCTCCATTCCCTTCCCAGGATTTTGGATGCACATGCACATGTGTCTAGCATGAGTTTTAAGCTGCCAGGCCTGGGACTCGAACTACAGTTGACCACGTGGAAGTCCAGCAATGTAATCTTTACTCCATCTGCTAGTCCCAACATTTCTTTCTTCTTTCTCTTTTATTACTATTACCTATCATACCACCATCCCACTCTGGCCTTTTTCTTTTTTTGGAGAGGTTTTTGCTATAGGGTGCGTCTGTTCGCCAGAAAGACACTAATTTGAAGGACCTTGAACTCTAGGCTGAAAAATTTGTACTTAATTGGTAACATAATTTTTCTAACTAAAATAATTACCTAATTAGAGTTTCATCTAAAAATGTTTGTATAACATTGTGACACTCTGGGTGCTAGCATGCCCATGGTATTTGCTGACTGAGACTTCTTAGTGTGAAGAGGGGCAGCTTGGATATCTCTGTCTTTGTGCCTCTCCTCTCTCCCTTTTTTGAAGAAATTAGTAAACTTAAAATTTTTTTTTTAAATTAAAAAAGTCATGACAGATTAAGAAATGTGAAAGTTGTAAATGGTAAAATCTTAATGTTAAGGATTATGCTGAGCCACTCTGTTTTCCCATAAAACATTCACTCAGGGGACCAGCAATTGGTGTAATGGATATGTCGCTGGACTCCCATGTAGTCAACCGCAGTTTGAGTCCCGGACCCTGTGGCTTAAACTCACATGGGCGCGTGTGCGTGCGTACCCAAGATCCCGAGAAGAGAATGGAGGAGAAAGGATTGCAGCGTGGCCATCCCCCCTGGGGGGTGATTTCTCGCTTTCTATCTCTCTGTGTCTCTCTTTCTGGCAAAACTTCTCCAAAAAAAACATTCATTCAGAAAATACTTAAAGGCCTATTTTTAGGTATACAGGGATGAATATGAAGAATCTATTCTCAAGTCTAATGTAAGGGGAAAAAAAGATACATACTTGAAACAAAGTAGGTAAATACAGGAATGGATAGAGAATTATGACACATGAAATAGAGCACTAAATGTGGCCTGGAAGGATCAAGAAAGACCAATTTGCATTTTAAATGATGACTAGGAATGAGCATAAAGAAAGGTTTATTCAGGCTTAAAGAACGATTCTGAGGAAAGACAGAGTGAGAGACACAACTTTATTTAGGCAGAGTCTAGTAAATCTAATATACATTGTTTAAAGTATTTGCCATAGGTCCTGTACACTTGCCAGAAAAAGACAGAGACAGCAAAAGTGAAACTGAGAACTCACCTCCTGCCCAGGGGATGGGCATGCTATAATCCCTTCTCCATTCTCCTGGAATTTGGGGCACTCACATACATGTGCCTGGTGTGATTTTTCAAGCCACCAGGCCCAGGACTCGAACTGCACTTGGCCATATGGGAGTCCAGTGCCTTAACCACTACACTACCAGCTCCCTAATAAATTTTTTCTTTTAACAATAGGTTCATTTCCCCCTTGTATGGTTTTTCTGCTTGCAAATAAAATTAAACTGAGAAGGAAACTTAGTTGCTGCCACAGTACATATAATACATATTATACATCTTGGTTTCTAAAAGTCTGTGGTTATTTTCATAGAGGGTATATCGG